CGTAACAGCTGCTCAAACGGGAGGTTGTTGGCGGAGGGATACGGTTGTGCTAGCAGGAGCAAACGACATCTCTAACGTGTGTGTGAAGACCACACATTATTAATTTTATTCCTAAAGGAAAAGCACACTGTTCACAGGCGGAATTTTAACGGAATATATAATTGTTTTGCACATTAAATGTCCGGATAAGGTAAGCGTCTGGTTGGTATACTTTTTCAATGGATGTCATCCAGAGTTATTGAAGTCTCTGAGTTAGCAGCTCGGCTAGTTAGCAGAGTTAGCTCAATGCTAAGCTGCAGTGTGGAGAGACTGCAGGGAAAGATAACAGATTTGTTTTTATCACTCAACTTTTAGTAGTTAGAAATCAGTAAGTGAAACGTCGTTGAGCTATAGCATGCTAAGCGGCAGCTGTGGTTACTGAATGTGTTTTAACTGAGTTTTGAAACTTGCTCATGAACTAAATGTATTAATGTTTTTTAAGCTCTGTTGCTTCTAATAGAGTTTAGGGTCAACTATAACAACTTTGAGCTACTCCCTTTATCAGCTACTAATGAAATCCCTTTGTTGTTGATAAATAAAATATTAATAGGAGCTCCTTATTGATGAAGTTGGCACTGCTAACTGTGAGATAGCCACTAGCAGAAGGCTCATAGAGAGCAGCTGACATATTTATGAATGAAAAGGGTTCAGATCTGTGTAGAGCTGCAACACTAAACTCGTTGAGCTTTTAAAAGATTGAAGCCAGAAGGAAATACTTTTAGTTTGAGATTTCCTTTTGTGTTCAAAAATAACATTGGTATAATTAGCCACATGCTCTTTGTTAGGAACTCCTGTGAAATGCTTTTATAAAGCTTATTTTGACTGATGTCCTGTTTGAATGGCAGAGTTGATTTATTAGACCGCATTAAAAAGGAGGTCTCTATAGATAATTCCCCTGTTCAGAACAACTGTACCTGGTGAATGTTTTTATAACTCACCTGTTCAAATTGGATTCATGCTAAATATTTGCATTTTTAGAGGCATGTTTGGCTGATGGGTGCACACTGACAGAGGTGGTTCTAGCTGCCAGCTGGAGCCTCGAGTTTTTGTGCAGGTTTGTCTCACAGGTGTGTCCTTCCAGCAGGCAAGGAGATGACGACAGAGGTGGAGAGGCCAGCAGGAGGCACAGCTGACCAGGAGATGAAATATAATGAAGAGGAGGAAGAGGTCCTGCAAGAAATGGATGATGAAGGTTAAAAAAAAACCCCAAACAAACAATTCTTTACAACGAAATGAGTTCAGCATATGCAGGTTATCCTTCCATTATCTCGATTCACTTAACTAACGGCCGTGTCTAAGAATCTGTATTTATTAATGATGCTCGTCAGGGAAGCGCAAAGATTTTAGAGGCTGCTGAAAAACTTTACACCCTCCTACTCTTTCTGCAGAGGTCCAGCAATGCTGACATTTTATTCCATGACGTAAATTAGTCTTTATATATGTAGCGTCTCATGTCCCCTTTAAATGACGAGTAAGTCTCGTACCAATTGTGAGGATTAGTCCACTAACGTGGCAGCACGGACGCGGCCTTCACCCAAAAGCTTTGGAATTTAACATCAGTGAGGCCTTCAGATCAAACAGACCAAATATGATCGAGTCTGTAGGATCTCAGTAGGAAGCTGTTAGCATTTGGATAAAGTTCAGCACCTGATAAAAGCAAAGTGACCGTAGAGTTTCCTCTTAAATTCAAATTGGCTGATTGTTGTGATCAGTCAGCTGATTAAGTGTGTGTCTCGTGTTCAGGTCTGCAGGAGGACGCTGACCCCCCACCAGTCCATATCATCCCTATCCCAGTCCAGCCGAATGCAGAGAGCAGCTGTGGGCCCCTCACAGACAGCAGCGCAGTGGAGGTACTGGTTGATTTTTGATTATAGATCGACTGCTGGTTGTTGATTATAGATCATCTGCAACATTTCAAACATGTGATGTGTTCAGTCTGCAGGCGCTTCTCTAAGCTTCAGGGTCAACGGTCAGCTGGTCCCCCTGCTGCCTGGAGGTCAGTCCCAAACACTTTCAAGTAGAAGTACTTCATTAATATCTTTGTTCACACTAGAGATGGACCGATCCGATATTA